CAAAAAAAAAAAAAAAAAGCCTATTTGGATTTTCGTTGGGATTAAAGTGAATTTATAGGTCAATCTTGGGAGAATTAATAGCATAATGTTAGCTATAGATCTTTCATAGGTGCTCTTTATCAAGTTGAATAAATGTCCTTCTAGTTCTAGTTTTTGAAAAGTTTTTGTCGTAAGTGGGTGTTGAATTTTTTTCAAATAATTTTTCTGTGTATATTGAGATGATCATACAATGTATTTTTTTAATTGTTAAAACAGTTAATTACTCTGAAAGACTGTCAGCATGAGCTCCACATGACTACATTCTGAACATGGCAATGAAAGAGGGGTGACCTAAGAGAAATCCCCCAAACAGCAGGGACACATATCCAAGAAACCAGTCCTTACTTTGTAAGCACTGAAATCTACTTTTCCAAGAACACAGATACTCAGTCTTACAGTTTCTCCATCTCGCCAATGTAGATATATAAACTAAAGCATTCACTTCTCACTTACAATAAATAGTAACTGTAAAGTGGATGTGTAATGATCAACTAACTCCTTTTTCAACATGCCTCCAAGAAGCACAGTGGTGATGAGCCAGGGGCTTGGAGAATGTGGCACCAGAATAAGGAGGCTCATGTGGACACTGCCTCCACACAGGCCAGTCGCATGTGGTCATGGTTCAAAGCCAGTCACACATGGTCATGGTTCAAGGCCAGTCACATGTGGTCATGGTTCAAGAAGACCTCTCCCAACAATGCTGGTGGACACTGCCAGCTTCTGCCTGACCAAACCCTAGTTATGTACGTTTCTGCTCATAAATCCCCTATACTCCCCATTCTTTCTTTAGATGTTAGTATCAGTGTCTTGATTTTAGTCTATTAAATTGATCTTAGGCATGATGTAATGATGCTTTTATATCAAATTCTATGTGTCAGTGCCCCATGTTACTTTTTAAAAATACAACTATTTTTTCTTGAGGTTCTTTTAAGTCCCACTTGTCTAGACTTTGAGACATGAATTCATTAAAGCAAACAGATGCCAAAAAATTTTCCTCACTCATCTTGGACTTCAATTTCCTTTTTCTACATTCTTATCGCTACTTATGATCTATGAAATCAGAGCTGCTCCAAACCATCTCCGCTTTCTAGCTACTGGCTGGTCTACCTTCCCTCAGGAAAGACCCACAAGTGGCAGAATCACTAGCAACAGACGATTATGGGGTGACAGAGAAAGGGGAGATGGCTCTGGATGCTAGGGAAGCCAGTCTTCTTCACCCAACGAAAACTACTCTTTCCTCCAAGTCTTTAACTCTGGCAACCAACTTTCCTAGTGAAATTACTGGAAACAGTAGGAGGAGTTAGACCACAATGAGTAAGATCCAATGTAAACCATTAAAATGTTTAAAAACTGTGATAGTCTTGGCACATCAATATTCACACAGGAAAGACAGCATCTATGTAAAAAATACTTCTACTTTTATAAGACCTAAAACTCAAAAAGCTAGTGACTATCAATTTTGATTTCATTCTATAATATTACGTACATTTAGAAAATTTTCAGAGGCATAAGAGGTTTATCACAATCATGATTTTGTATATTCACAAAATAACTTATCTAGTTCTAAAATCTAGGACTCAAAGTTAACAGAAACCAAGTGTTTTTCAGCTGTGTTTTTCAGCTGTGTTTTTCAGCTTAAGTCTACTTTATTAGACTTCAACTACAATTTTTCTTTTTAATTTGCTAGAGGGCACGTGTGCTCTCTGTGGGGAGGTAGGGAGAATGTGAGAATTCCCTCCATGGGGGATGGTCATGCTGCAAACCCTTCTCCCCCATTTCTTCTTTTAAGATTTTGGGCACATGCACACATGTGCCCGGTACGTTTTTCAAGCTACTGAGGCCAGGACTCAAACGCCACTGTCAGCCACGTAGGATCCAGCCACCTTAACCACCACACTACCAAGTGGCCTTCAGCTACAACTTTTTTTTTTAAAGAATTATTTTATTTAACTTTCTTTATTTATACATTTTTAAATTTTAATTTGACCAGAGAGAGAGAGAGGGTGGGGGGAGAAAGATAGAGAGAGAGAAAGTGAGAAAGCAAGCCACCAGTTTCAGGACTCGAACCGTAGTCACCCACGTGAGAATCCATGCCATCTGTCGGCATCCAGCTACAATTTTTAAAGAGTTGTTAATAACACCAGCAGTTGGCGTAATGGCTGTGTCGCTGGACTCCCATGTAGTCAACTGTGGTTCGAGTCCCAGACCTGGTGGCTTAAATTCATGCCGGGCGTGTGTGCATGCATGCCCAAGATCCTGAGAGGAGAATGGAGGAGAAGGGATTGCAGCGCGTCCATCCCCCCTGGGGGCTGGTTTCTCACTTTGTGTCTCTCTGTCTTTCTGGTGAGCACACACGCCCTATAGTAAAAACCTCCTCCCTCCAAAAAAAGAGTGGTTCATATTATATTTTCTGAGAGAAGGTGAGAAAAAAATTTTCTCTTGCTGACCAAGTCTTGAACAAAACAAAATAAATGCTTAAAATGTTATAACTACTTAAAAAACTTGCTTAGCTTATTATATGTGATATTATGACATCACATTAATTTATATCAAATTCTGTATTCATTTGTAATATATTTTATGTGATGCTTTTATTTATAACAAATTATATTAGAATTATATTATACTTACCAGAAAACTTGATCTCAGTAGAGTTAAACATAGTTTTCCTAAATATCAAAGGTCCTGATTTCTAAAATGAGAAACAAACACAGAAAGATGTTGTTAACATTTCTTTTCTCTACTGCTTAAGTGTAGTTTTAGAGGACCAGGTGATGCCCATTGGTAAAATACAGTGCTCTGTGAGGCTGACTCACATAAGAAAGTTCTGGGTTTGCATCCAGAGGCCTCACGGAGGATGCTGCAATGCTGGAAGCCATGTGGAAGACTGAGGGTTCAGATCCCTAAACACACTGTGTGTGCACGCACACCCATGATCCTGGTGGTGGGAGGCCAGGAAGAGGAAGAGAAGATACTGTATGAGACCCAGAGGCCCGGAGACCTGGCAATTCTGTGCTGCAGAGCACCCACCGACTGGTTCCGAATGCCATCTGTAGCCAACCACACTCCCCACTCTGATCCTGAACCTAGCTCATTTCCCTCACTGACGTTATCGGCCTCAGGCCCACAAGCCCTTGATTTTGAAACCCCTAGCTCCAGGCTCAAACCCAGTTCAGGCACAGAGGTGTGCGGTGACCTGCGTCCCCTCTAACACCTGTACCAGAACTTCACTCAGCAGAAACACCAAGAATTTCCTGCACTGCTGGCTGCTCAACTCTTCTATTCTCCAAAGAAGTAACTATTCATCTTTTAACAGAGCCAGGCATCTCCTCCAAAAAGTGAGATTAAGTCAACTCCCTCGGTGTGCTTATAATACCCCAAGTATGCTGCCATCTATTAATATATAATTATCTGCTCATAAATCTGCTGTCCACACCATAGGGTGAGTTTCCCAAAAGAAGGGGCTCTGTCTAAAATTCATTCCTGCAACAATGACCAGTCTAGTGCAGGGCATACAGCAGTGCTCACAGTGAACTTTCCAATAAAAAGAACCATCCTGTGATCTGCAAAACAAATGGGAAAAAAAAAAAAAAATCCCCTTTCTCTTTTTCTGTTCCAAAGGATAAGTTCTCAGAACTTCAAATGAGGCGGGAAGAGAAAGCCCATTTTTTCAAAGAAGAACTCAACAGACTGCTACGGGCCTAAGTCACACAGAAATTAAAATCAGCATCACTCAAGATTATGTGACACTCAAGGAACAAACTTGTATCCCTCATGCAGAAAGCAAAGCCTTTCTTCCCCCATGGCCTTCAGAGTCTCACCATCAGAAGTATTCCTGGGAAAGATCTAACAGTCTGCACACAGCTGATTCACTTCCAGTTACCTTATCCTTAATGTTGGATAGCGCTCATTCACTACAGAGGTAGCAGGGAGCCCTAAGTGTGGTTCACTAAGTTTTGCTTTTTTACTGTCCAGAGAACTGCAATAATGGAGATGTACAGGTTTTTATCACTGGTGGTACAAAACAGGGCCCCAACCCAGAAAAAATCCTGGAAGAAAGGATGCACCGAGTTCAAAAGATTTTGAAAACCCACAGTTGTTTCTCTGGGTAGCTTTTGTGCTGTAAGAAATATTTGGTGCTATTAATTTTTTTCTGACTGAGGATACCAAAATAAGCTTCATCTTCAGAACTTAGAGATCACTTCCATGCATGTGGAAAATATCCATCCCGAACAGCTGGATCAGCCATTGGACCCGAGAAAAGCCTCTTCCCCACTTCCTATCTCCCTTGCAAGACTCGCCACACTTCTACCCATGCATTCCTCCCTCATCACCACCTCTAAGTACTGGAAACCGAGTTCTCTAATGATCTGCCCCAGAAAGGAAGAGTTTCAACCCACCCTAGCTTCGCCTTTTAAACACTCCTCTCACATGCTCTCCCACCTACACACACACACACGCGGAACTATGATAGCAGCCTTTGGGAAATTGAAAAACCCGAGAGGGACAGAGGGATGGGGTGACTACTGGATGGTCCCTCCTGATAAGCAGAAAAAGAAAAATTAAAATTAAAAAGCGGCAAACGCGTTTTGTAAATTAAGACGAAACTGAAGCAGTGGAGAGTCCCCTGTAGCCTCTGATGCTGCTTACGGGCAGGAAAAGGGATCGAATCCCGGGGATGCCTCTAGGAACGCTGAGATTCTGGGCTCAGGTCTCAGCAAGGAGGACCTGATCTAGTCGGGCAGGGCTAGGGGCCGGGGCCCCGGGAACAGGAGGAGCGCTCAGGCGGGAGACGGTCCCATGCATTATGCTGAGCGCTCTTCCCGCTAGGTCCGGGCGGTGGAGTGGGCGCTCCCCGCCCGCTGCCAGAGGCAAAACGGCCCGTGCAGTGTCACTGGGAGGCAGAGCAGGCCCGGCAAGGACCAGGTGAACCAGCCCGGGCACCGGCGGAGTCTCGCCGGAGCGCTGCGGGCCCACACGCGCCACGTCTGTCTCTACACTCCACTTACTTCGTTGACTGTCTCTGACCAGAGCCCGAGCTCGGGGACGGCGTCCACAGCCGCCAAGGCCCAGCACAGCAGGCAGAGGGCGACGCGCAGCAGCCGGCCCCCAACAGGAAGGCGGCGGCGCGGCCCGAGGCCGGCCGCGCGGCCG